TGAGTAAAAGTAAGTTTGGTTGTAAAATGATCAAAATAGATATATGACTTTATTAGATAATGTAAAATGAAAAAAAAATTATAAATTTACATAATACCATAATTTTAAATTATTTTAATTGGAAGAAGTTAATTTTAATGAAATAAATATATTTAGCTTAGAAAATTTACAGAACATATTTTTTAATATGGAAATAATTTCTAAATTTATATTTAATTCAAATAAAAATTTCCTAATATATCAAAATCTAGGCCACGTAACTTGCAACAGAACCGGTCAACTCTTGCCTTGCTCTCGATGGTGTGATGGCGGGCGGCAGTTGATTAGGCGACGACAAGACAAGTTGGACGAGAAGAGGAAAGGAGTAGATGAAGGGGCAAAAGAATGGAGCCAAGTGAGTGGAGAACAGGGGCAAAGAGTGGGAAAAGTTTTTTTTGAGAATAATCTATTGTTTTAACAGTACCTTACCGTCCATCTGTAAGCACGATGAAAAAGCCATAAGTAACTCTGAGGAGCTTAACTGAATCGGGCTTATGAATCCAGCTTTTAGCCATAAGTAGGATAGAGAATAAGCTCATCCAAACAGGCAGAATTTCTTAAATGAGCTTATAAGCTGAATAAGTTACTTTTAAGCTCTTCAAACGCTTGAACAAACAGGCCATGTATCTTCAATATTATCTCGTTTCTTATTTAATTTTTATTTTATTTTTAAATATAAAATCTCAATCTACTTTGTTTTTCATATTTACTTATTTTTTTGAGATAGTCCTTCTAATAATAATAACTTTAGCTAGCAAACTTGATTAGTAATAATATTTTTAGAAAGACGACACGTATGTATTACAAATAACTAACTTTAGTTATTTTTTTAATCTATTCAAATTAGTTAATTAACTCTTATATTTAGAACCGGAGGTAGTATAAGAACTATTTTGACTTTTAATTTAGTTATAAATATAATATCTTAATATACTTTGTTTTTCATATTCATTTATTTTTTTCAAAATAACCCATACAGTAATTGTATATGTTAAATGTTCTATTACATAGTAATTTTGACTAGTACACATAATTAGCAAGAATATTTTACAGAAAATAATATCTATTTATTATAAATAATTAATTTAATAAATTTTTTTAATCTACTCAAATTAATAATTCACGTTACGTTTTCAAACCGCCCCGGCCCCACAAGCGCGCACAAATGTACGTATGTATATAAATACATAAATACATATATATATATATGTATTGCTATCTTCGCCAATTGATTTGACGCATGATTGTGAACCTTATGATGGCATTCATCATCGCGCCTGTACTTGTTCTAATTACAAAATAACAACGTCTCGTGTTGTTTTCTTTAATTACAATTAACAAGACAACTATGTATGCGTAATCCCTAATTAATTACCTCTTCTTTCAACCACTCACTTCACCCACATATAAGCTTATCTACTTATTTATTTCCTCATCAGTGTCCAGAGCTGAATAATGAGAAGTAAACCATCATCCCTTAATTGGCCTTCTTGTTGCCAAATCAATAATGCCAGCCTGTCAATGAAAAAGATGCCCTCAGCGACACTAAATCCCCTTATCAAACTATACTTTTGTTTCACAATCACCCACCAAATCAAGAGCCACTGTAGTAATAATAAAACATCATTATGTAAAACGAGAAAATAAAACTTATTATTTTTTGTTGACATAAAAATTAAAAAAAATTATGCTAAGAAGCATAATTTAATTGATTTTGATTTTAATGAGATCCATATGATAAAATTAATTCATATCATTACCATTTAACTTTTTTTGGCCAAATTATTACCGCTTAACTTTTAAGCGGCAAACACATGATTTTTTTTTAAAACAGCTAATTTAAGATGCTCACAAATAACATATAGAAATAAAAATTACCCGCAATTACAAATAAATGGTATTAGTCAACCGCCTAACGTGTGGAGAGTTCATGATAGATACTACAAGTTATTTTAAATTTCTTTATTTTTCTCTTAATTAGTTTGATCAGAATTGATCTGGGTTGAGTTAATAGAAAAGTGCAAGCTTTTTTGTCAAATTAGAATGAAAAATAAATAATTTTTTTAAAAAGAAGGACGAAAAGTTGGAACACTCTTATTTTCTTTCCTAATCAAACGAATCATGTAGGGGTAGGAAAGACAGATCGACGTATGGGAAACTTAATTACTGGCTACGTACGTCTCATCTTCTTATGTCTGCCATTTCGTATAGGATTATATATCCCTGTTTGTAAAGGAAGATCCAAATTCAGTGAAACTATGTTCTCTTTGGGATTACTGATCACAAAGTTTACAAACATAATCTTTTCAAACAAACCCTTTTTTCCCTTATGATTATGCTAATGGTTACGGAAAGCTGGACTTTTTGAGACATGTCCATTTCTTCCTCTGCTTAATTATAATGATGATGATGTTGCTAAGATCTGTGTAGAATTTGTTTCTTTGACGCCACACGCGCACACAAATACAAATTTCAAAGTTGCTTTTCCTCAATGGGCATGACCACCCCACCAGAACTCTCTCTCTACCAAAGTGCTAAAAAGCTCCATCATCACTTTCATCTTATCACAGCCTTCTAAGTGGTCCTTCCCTAAGGTATAGACTTTGAAGGAACTTAGAGCCCTTCACCTTCATATCCTCAAATTTCCTTCCTAATCTAAAAATCTAGTTCTCAACATATAATATGTCATATGCTCAAATCCTGTTGAAATTTTTCTTAGTGGTAATTTGTAATTACTTTTGTAAGATCTGATCCGAATGAGTTTTTTAGGTGACTGGCGTAAACTTTTGATTACCCAAAAAAACTAAGTATATGTTAATCATGATATATAGCTTCTCACTAATATCCTAGCTAGCTATGCAACCAGGAACGAGTTTCACGTCTAAACAGCACTTCCCATCAAAATCAAATGCCAAATGCAGAAGTGTGTCCCACTCGTAGGACCACAAGGAACTTTTGACCTTGGCTATATGAGCTTTTTAAACCATCCACGTTTGAATTTGGGAGAAAGAGAGATAACAAAGCAAGAAAGAGCATGACATTGTTGACTCCCCTGTTAACTTCCACAACACACTCTCTCTCCCCTCTTATTCTTCAAAACCAAGTCTTTTTTATGACCAGCTTCCGAGGACAAAGAGAGCTAAGGACATGTTTGGTGTGATCACATTCATTTGGAAGGAATTGGAAACGGCAATAGAAATGGATATAGAAATAAAAGCAGAGGTGGAAATTAATTTTAAAAATGTGTTTGGTATGTCAATAGTTACATACTAAATTCATATATTCAACTAACAAAGTACCCTTGACCAATTAATTAAAACAAATTGTCAACCCTAATCAAATCTCACCATGCTCAACCGCTCTATGATCAGATGGGATAGAATTTGAATTGAAAAGTTTTCCAATTTCCAATTGCATGGTATGAAAACAAATGTGTACGGAAGCCCGCCTCAATTCTAATTTCATACCTTTCAATTTCAACATGCCAAACAGACCCTAAGTTTAGTCCCATAAACAAAGGTTTCCTCTATTCTCACGTGAATTTTGTCAAACACATAACGGGCATCCCAAAAAAGCAGCGAACCGATGATATTTTAAAGGACGAGACATTTTTCCATGGAAAAGAAGCATAAGAGGCATAGAGACAACAGCTAAAATCACCACAGAACGGACAAGATTGAATATAAACGTGATGGAGAAATTAAACAAAGGCAGGGGTTTATGTTAAATATTGGATTGAATTTCTTCCAGGACAATATTACAGGTCATAAATACCAGTGAACCGAGACCAAGCTATCAACGTCTTGAAAAATAAGCGATCAAGGAGCCTGAAAGTCTTCACCAATCAAATGTGTACAATAATGATAAACCTTACCAGAACTTTGACTTTTCTGCGGCCGGATTCAGTATTTTCATCTTCCTTCTTCTGCTTCTCTTTTTTCTTCGTTGGGTTTCGGCGGGAGATCGATGAATCACGAACTTACACGTCGACCAAACGGAGTTCGAATTCACTAGTGTAGACCGAAATTCTCAACGGGAAAGAGTTCAAATTTCTTGTGGGACAAGTATCTCTTTCTTTTCCAAGCCGCGCTGGCATCTTCGGTTTTACAAACTTAGTAAGATATATATATATATATATATATATTTGTGGGCTTAGGTTAACAATGCGTGATATATAGAAACACCTGAACAAAACAAGCAATACTGAAAATAAAATAACTCTTCCAAGATCCAAATAGGCAATAAAGTTGAGTGACTAATTAAAATATTGAAATAATTTATATTTTTCAAAGAATATTTTTGTGTCAGGAGGCCACACTTTCTGTGCGTGAATGGTAAACCATTTAAAGGATTTGGTATGCATGATTGGTCTCAATTTGCATCAGTTGCACGTGAGGCTTTTCTCTGCTTTCTTTTTTCTTTTTAAATAAAAAGAAAACTTTACACAAGGAATCAGCCTCACTTTTTTTAACATTGTCAAATATAAAATCAAATTAATGCAGATTTAAATAAAAATGCTCCTTGAATTTATGGCCGCATGATTGAACAAAATGTGTTTGTTTCACATTACATGTTTTTTTATTATCAAGATTTTGATGGTTTATAACATAAAACCAAACACGCAGCAGCCAATATGGGTTTAGCTAAAATTTCTGATTAATTAGTGAAAATTAAAGCTTCCGTGATCAAATGAGCCAAGCAATGGAAGGAAGATAAATCGAAAACCGTGTAGAGTAAATTATGATTACCAAAGAGTGTTGAATTAAGAGAGTTTTTTTCGCAGAGTACAGTACAACAAGAACAGATGGTTGTGTAGATTCTAGACAGAGAGAGAGACAGTTTCCGAATCCAAAGATCAAAACAACGTTCTTGTCACGGAATTAATCTCTCTCGCTCTCTCTATCTCTCTCTCGATTTTGTAATACCACCCACTCATAATAATCTGAACAAGTTTTTCTGGGTTTTTGAAAACCAGGATATATCTCAGATTGATGATGATGCCATTATTCTCATTGCTTGTAGTACAGAGTTACAACTAAGTAATTCAATTATTACTACTTAATTAATAAGACCAAAAACAGAAGGGTTGATCTTCATATGGGAATCCGAAGTTACAGGGCTCTTCTTCAACCTTTGGTAAGCACGGTGGGAGATTCACGAGGTTATGACTCATCAGGTTGTCTTCTTCGTCCTGTGAGAAATCTGAGTGCTCTGCTTCGTAGGCATGGGAGGAATCTGCAGTGTGGTGTGGGCTATCTGAATCAAACACATCACTTTTAGCAGAATTGGCATCTTCTTGTTTGCATATTACTGTTGGAACCTTTTCAACTTTTGACCCATCTTCAGAAGAAGCCCCATTATTATTATTATTATTTGAGATCATCAAAACATCAACACACTTCTCATAATTCTCTTCTTTCTCTTTATCATCTCTCCCGATCAACCTGTTCTTCAGAGAATTCACCTGTACCAGATAAATACATGTATCATTGACCCATTAATCCCAGAAGCAGAGGATTGACTTGCATATACAGAAAGAGACAGAGAATGATGATGATTACCTCTTCTTTTAACTCCTCATTCTGGTGAAGGAGAGTGTCATGGTCACCTTTGAGTTTGTCATAGCTAGATTTTAAGGTTATATAGTCTTTTTCGAGCTGTTTGGTTTTGAACCGAGCTCTTCTGTTCTGAAACCAGATAGCGACTTGCCTTGGCTGCAACCCCAGTTCTTTAGCGAGTTGAACTTTTCTTTCTGGTTCCAGCTTGTTTTCTAACTCGAAGTTCTTCTCAAGGAACTGTACTTGTTGGCTTGTGAGCCTCCTCTTCTTCCCTGGTTGATGAAAGCACGCATCGTATTCCTCTTCTGTGTTCTCTTCTTTGTCCAGACCTTGGAAGAATGGCAATTCTGTGACTGTGCTTCCACTAACATTCTCGAAATCGATTAGAGGTTTTGAACCTGAAAGCAGACGACTTTAACTCGTTAATTAAGTTGCTTATGAAAGAGAATTCTCTGGGTTTTTCTTTTAATTTTTCTGGGAAACCCAATTCCATTCTCTTTAGAAAATAAACAAACAGATAATGTTCACAACAAGAATTTTCGTTCAAAAACTAATGACCCAGTAAATTCTGGAGCTTCAGAGGATCAGATCCAGAAACATACAGAACAGAGAAGAGAATTCAATTCACCTTGAAAGGAAGGGTCAGAGTGGTGAAGCAAGAAAGGGTCAAGAACATGAGAAGAAGAAGGAAGGCTTTCGTTCTGAAGAAAAGCTGTGAGATTTGAGGAAGCAAAAAGCCTGTTAGGACCAGCCATGGACACAGAAACTAGAGGGCGAGGATAAATGATCTTTGGGAATCTAGAGTTTCAGGGGCAAAGAACATTTATAGTGAGAAGCACAGCAAGTGGGGATGGATGCAGAATTTATGAAGGAAGGAAGAAAGGGATGAGAATAACAGTAATGTGGGAATGATGGGAGTAAGGAGAAATCATACCCATGACTTCACAGGGAGTGGTGCAGAGATGAAGATTGTCAGATCTCAATAAATTACAGAGGCAGGAGTAGAGGGAGAAGGTGGAGAGTTTTAAAGAGAAGGAAAAATGGTTTGGGAAAGAAGAGAAAGGAAGGAAGGAGATTCTTCTTTGAAGTGGGCAACAACGACGGGGTTATATGGAGACTTTGCCCTCGTGAAGGCCCCAAAGGGGGCATTACACCAAGCTTTCCTTAATTACTTTACAATATTGCCCATCTCAATTTTGTCCCAAAAAAAAAGCTGAAAATTCCTTATTTAGATATTTTATTAGACAGGAGGAGTCAATAAAATTTCTAAATAAAGTCTCTTCATCAAATTTTTTTTTTCCTTTGTAAATAGCTTACAAACATACTTACATATTACTATCTCCAGACCTTAATATAAGACTTTTTTTTACTTTTATTTTAATCCTAAATATAAGATTCCAATCCACTTTGTTTATCATATTTACTCAATTTTTTTCAAGATAATTCTTCTAATAATTATAGTTCTAGTTAATATACTTGATTAGTAAGAATATTTTAGGAAAGACAACATCTATTTAGGACAAATAACTAACTCAACTTACTTCTTTAATCTCTTCAAATTAGTCAATTGGCTTTTATAATTAGGACCGGAGGTAGTATTTACCATCAATGTTCTTATAATATACTAACCCTAATACATATTGCACTATAAATTAACTCTTATATTTCAGACAAGAGATAATAATACATGTATTCTACAAAAGATAAATACAATCTTTTTCCAAAAATTTTAGATTATTATATGTTCTATAGCAGTTGTTTGACATAAAAAGGCATCACGTTTAAAATATATTCTCTTGGTCCTTTATTATAAGTATTAATTTTTCAAAAACATGTTCTTTTTTTGGTTGAGTTTAGAGTATACACCATGGTATCTGTGATTGATCCTTTCTCACCGTAGACATTTTAAAAAAGTTTTAATGCTGGTCATGAGATCCTCTTTATATTAAAAAATACTCCTCCGGTCCTAATTATAAGACCCAATTTGACTTTTTATTTGGTCCTAATTATAAGACCCAATCCATTTTGTCTCTTATATTTATGCATTTTTTTCCAAGATAATCCTTCTAATAATGATAGTTTTAGCCAATATACTTAATTAGCAAGGATATTTTAGGAATGACAACACTTATTTATTATAAATAACCAACTTAACTTACTTCCTTAATCTCCTCAAATAAGTCAATTGGGTCTTATAATTAGGACCGGAGGAGTATATATTAAGAGAATGCTCAAATATAGTTGATGTGTAAAAATTTGGTTTTTAATTCCATTTTTTACCCTCAATTAAAATGACAATTGGGAAATCATATATCTTTAAATTTAGATCTGTCGTCATTAGCGCAAGGACAATTGAGAGCGATTCTACATTTCTACCGCTGTCCTTCCATTGCGAGAAGGAATAGTCAAACTTCCCAATCAAATATGGCAATTAAATAAATAATTTATATAAAATGAGAATATATATTAAATTAGTTATATGTAAGAAAAACTAAAAATTAATTGATTTAAAGTACATTTTTTAATCATTCATATCAGAAATTGGTTAAGAAAACAGAAAGAATATTGTATTGAAAAATGAAATTCTGATATTATGATTTAATAGAAATGTATTTTCTAAAGGCGCATTATAACATTTAAATTCACATATAATGTTTCGAACAATTGCAAAATCTTTTTGAGACTAATAAAATTGACTCTTCTGTAAAAAAAATATTTGCAAAATCATAATAATATTTTAAATTTAACAATATGCATAAATGAGAGAAGTTAAGAAATATTATAATTTTAACATAATTTATAAACAAAAATAATAATTTATGTTGGCAAAAAAGTAACAGTAATTTATAACAGAAGTAGACATTTTAAAAAAAATAAGGGGATGAAAATAAAAGTGGAGATAAATATGAAGGAAAAAAGATAAGAGGAAACAAACAAAAGCTAACCCGTCTGATCAGTCTCAATCAGGGGAGCGCTCGGAGTTTACTTTGCGGTCTTTGCCTTTCATCTCATAATATTTTTCTTTCTTTTTTTTCCTTTGAATATAGAAAATTTCATAATATATAAATAATTGTTAAAATGTGAAGTTCAATATCTTAAAAATATATATAAAATACATTTAACCTCCTCGATTTTTAATTTCATAAAAAAAATCTTTTTAAATTTTATCACTGATGAATCCGTTAAAATTTTATATCATCATTAGTATTGGGTATACGCATGGTGATGTGTATAAATATATAGGTAAGAGAAGTTGTTATTATTATACTCCTCCGGTCCTAAATATAAGACTCCTTTCATAGTGCAAATTGCACTATGAAAGGAGTCTTATATTTAGAACTGGAGAAGTAATTTATAACAGTCAATAAATATGCAGGTGGTTTTTTTTTTCATAAAAAGGATTAATGTGTTACGTTGCCCTAAAAACATATAAAAAATTAAAGCATGCTTTCTTTGCGAGAGAAAATTAAGCTGAACAATGGGGGAAATATTCGCTTGTAAATTGTTGGCTAATAAAAGTTATATGTTACAGAAAAACTTCGACTTGCATTTGTACGTAACTTGAAATTTGTTGCCGATGATAATTGCTTAAATGAAAAGAACTCTATTTCTTTTAAGGTAGAAAAAAACCCATTGAATAAGAAAATATCACGTTAGAAAGTTGTCCTTAATTAGATTCAACGATACTCAACTTTAAGTAAATAATATTAAATGCTATATAGTAATATAAAAAAATAATTTTATTCTTATCAATTTAATTGAATTTTTCTATGATAGTATAGATTAATATATTTAAGGATAGTTCAAGAGAAATATAATTTTTACAGAATATATTCCTTCTGTTCTGTCTCTAATTATAAGGGAAAATTAATTGATTTGCACATACTAAGTAAACAGTTAATATAGTTTAATTACTTCTAAAAATTGCTTCCATTTTTCACTTATTATATCCCTAATCAATGCTCATCATTTCTATCATTCCAATTTTTTGCATAAGAAAGGTTGCTCTTTTATTTACCATGTCGGTCAAGTATGTTTATTCATTCTTCAAGGGCATTTTAAAAAAAATATTATTCCCTCAAACCCTTCAATTTTTATTACGGAGCACTTTCAAGTTTCAACTAGTTCACACGAACGAGGTAATGGCAATTAGCCCATTAAATCTATCTAATAATTTCCTTTTTCAATTCATTACTATTAATAAAGTTTTAAAGGATAAGAAAAACTATGAAGATTTACATTTACGAACGAAATTTATACTTATTAACACTTCTTCAAGTAACTTACGCTATTATGAACAAAAAAAATCTTCTAGAACACCGATTGGAGAGAGTGTTTGACATGTCAAAGGGAGTAATTGCTCTTAAAATTTTGGAAAATACATTACAGAAAAGGAGGTAACAAGGTTCGAAATTTTCGGAGGCATGATTAAGTGATTTAAGGAATGATGAAAATCAGAAATGAAAATGAAGAAGGAGAGGTACATGCACGTAGTTGGAGGGCGTCTCAATTTGAGAGGACCCGGCTGCCAAATACGCCATTCCTATTATGGCGGCGACGCAACTAGGGGCTACCAAACACAGCACAACATTAAATTGTGTTGTTTTTTGACCGAAGAACATTAAATTGTGTTTACCAATACGTTTCCTTTTTTTTTTTTTTGGTTTTTCACAACTCAAATTATCCTTAAATTATTTTAAGTTTAAGATTAATTTCTATTGAGTTAAAAACATTAAGGTTAAAGCTCGTCTAATAGGCACACTTACTAAGAATTTTACTTGTACTCTCCTCCTTATCTAATTGAGGCCGCTTATCATTTTAACTGACAGTTTGTTGTTAACATGTTTCCCTTTTTCATCACTTGCTTTCCTTCACTCTTGCAAATTCATTAGCTGGCCAATGTATTTTGTTTTGTTATTTTTCCTTACAATTTAAAAAAAAAAACTCATTTAAAACACTTTGCTTTACATTTCCACGTTCTCTGAATTAGTGAATTTGGTGGCCCCCCAAATCCAAGCCTTCTTGTCGCCCAGGATGGCAAGATTCGCTGCTTATTAAGTCGAGTTTATCATTCGGTAATGATTAACATCAACTTAAAGGTCCTTCTCTCATACTTACGGGTTAGATAAGAATTAAAATGTTTGATAAACCTATTTAACTAATTTGATTATATTATCTCTTATCTTTGATGTTACCTTCAGTCCTAATTATAAAATCTTGTTTGTAGTTTATAAACAAGATCTTATAGTTAGAACCGCAGGTAGTATAAGAGTTAGTTTGACACTCAATTTAGTTTTAAATATTTAATACATGTGATTAACAAGAATATTGTGAGAAATATAACACATATTTATGACAAATAATTAACTGAATAAATTTTTTAATCTACCCAAATTAATTAGTTAGTTTATATATTAAGGACTGAAGGCAGTATTAAGGAAGTTACATAAAATATGACATGTTTGTATATTTTTGCCATTTGGATTTTCATTATATGTTTATAAAAATAAATACACATAGTACATTAAAAAATATCACTCTAGTTTTAAATATAAGACTCATTATGTGCACTCCAAAATTTGTCTTATATTAACCGGAGGAGTATTTATTTTAATATTTTAAACAAATTTTAGCAAAGGACATATTAGGGGCATGCATTGAAAATTGGAACCAGTGTGGATGTTTATGAGGGTGATGAGGACCTCAAGCTAATTAAATGTGGTCCACTCAGATATGTCCAATTTAAAATGTTTAATTAATTATTTTTAAAAAATTATATTTAAAAGGTTATCTTTATTTTATGTTAAAATAATTATTTTCAACAATAATTCAGACCATTGAAAATTAGCGTTTAACGAGGACCGTTCTTAATTATAGTAATGCGTCCGTGACTCTCCTATGCGAATTCACCTTGGAAGGGCAGCTCTTGCGTATGCACGTCCTTTAAGCTACGTTTGGTTCAGAGAAGGAGAGGGAAACAAATTTTACAAAAGCTAGGAAAAATATTATTATAAGGAAAATATAATTTTAAAATATTCCATTTAAAAACATTCCTTTTAATCCCCACTTTTAGTGGCCTGGAGAGGGAAGG